TCCCCTTCCCAAACCAGTTTTCTTGTTCCTCCCTATTTATTTTGGTAAACCTTTGGTAATCTGAGACGTTCGAAGGGTTTCTCAGTATATGCTTTTACCGCAAAGAGGAGCTAATGACGAAGATTACCGTGATTTCCTAACCTGACTTGGGCCCTCTAGGGAGGGAAGTTTGTATCCAGTACAGCAGTTTACCACATTGCAAGAGAGAGGAGAGAATTCTTACCCTTGGGAAGTCACGTGTTGGGGGCCCTGCCCTGGCGGTTATGATATTGTGACGGTCAGTGTCAGGGCCTTGGGGCTGTGCCAGCTTCTGGGGCTGGTGCCAGAACCAAAGACCTACTCAGGGCTAGTGTTGGGGGCTCCAGTTTGCTCATTTCTCCCTTCTCTTCTGTCTTTTAAACCTGTATACTTGACCAGTGGGTCCATACTGAGTAGGGTGAGCAGTATATCCGGGTCCAGCCTTTCCTTACCCAGGATTCTAAAGGTTTCTTTTCTGAAGCAGCCTCAGAGGAAAGGAGGGATGAGATGGGGGTGGGGAGTGGAGGTAGGATCAGACCTTTCATTTCTAGTTGAAAGTGGCAGTTGGGATTGCTCCAACAGATCCTGTTGGGATCATGGGGTAGGAGGGGGTCTTAGAATTTTCAGACCACTGGGAGTGAGTTTTAGACTCAGTGAAGATGGGAATTATGGTTAAAGGAGGGGAGTTTGGGGCCTAGCAACCAAGATGGGCTGCCATAGGGACAAGAAGGGGAAATAAAATGCCCTTTATGATTTCTGTAACTTTGGTTTTCCTAACGCTTCTGATGTGGCCGTATAGCAGGGGCCAAAGTCCTAGTGGACTGGAGGTGAGAGAGTAACAGAGCTACTGGAGACAGGAGAGTGATGTAGCTCTTGAGGCTCTTCAAGGGTCACAGTACCAGCAGTAAGTAGTGAAGAGGTTCTAAATGTAGCAGAAAGCCTAGAAAGGGAAACCTTGAGGAAACTTCTGACTCTTCGATGTTTTATCAGTAATAGTTTGATGCCAAGGAAGCCTTGGCAAGTAGTTGTATAGCAGAGAAAGCCACTTTGTGAAACAAAAGGGATTCCCATGGGCATATCCTTAATTCAGAAAACAAAGTCCTTTGCCATCTCGTGGATATGAATTTAGCCTTCCAGTCTCATTTCCCATGAGATCTGTCCACCTGTCCTGTCCTTTCACACCTTTGTGCTTCAAATACTTCCACCACATTCAAAGTCTAACCTTGCAAAGGCTTAACTCAATGTCACCACCTCTGAAGTGTTTTGCAGGACTCTTAGTGAGACTTTGTCCCTTCCTTGTTCTCTGGGTTCTTATTACCCTTTGTTTATAACTCTGTAATAGCATAATGCCTGAAAAACACACATACACACATACAGGTTCCTCCTTCTATCTGAAAGTAGAGCACTCCTATGAACCATTTCATAAGCTGAAATGGGGTAAAGTGAAGGAGAAATTACCTTCTTTCATAAAAGCGAAAATCTTTTTTGGATTTCTTCCAGTTAGCAAGAACAGGTACTAATGTAGGCTTTTCCTAAAAGCAAAGTGACATCAAGCAAATTTTCAAAAAGTGGGGGATACCTGCATCTGCCTCTGTCCCACGTATGACTGTAAACTCTTTGAGGCAGGGCCCCTGACTTATTTATCTTTTTTTTTTTTTAATTTATTTATTTTTGGCTGCATTGGGTCTTCATTGCTGTGTGCGGGCTTTCTCTAGTTGTGGCGAGCTGGGGCTACTCGTCATTGCAGCGCACGGGCTTTTCATTGTGGTGGCTTCTCTTGTTGCAGAGCACGGGCTCTAGGTGCGCGGGCTTCAGTGTTTGTGGCTTGCGGGCTCTAGAGTACAGGCCCAGTTAGTTGTGGCGCATGGGCTTATTTGCTCTGAGGCATGTGGGATCTTACCAGACCAGGGCTCAAACCAGTGTCCCCTGCATTGGCAGGCGGATTCTTAACCACTGCACCACCAGGGAAGCCCTGACTTATTTATCTTTATACTAACTCTGTCCTGTTCTGAGGAGGGAAGGACTGGTGCATCCACTTCCCCTCCCCCAGTCCTGTAGCACCTGGCGTATGGTAGAATCTCAGTAACCTTTCTGCTGAGTAGAATTGATTCTGGGTTAATCAGATGAACATATTATACAGTAGACTGACCTGGCTCTTCTTCCCCTCCCCATTCTGGGCAATGACCCGCTTGTGGCTGGTACACCTTGCTCCTGGCTCAGGTGTACTTATAGCAGGGGGCACTGCTATTTGCTTTTCTTAGTCCTGACTCCAGCTTCTCCCTTTGATCTCTGCTGCCCGCCCCAGCTCACCCCTACCATTGTCCTGCACAGGGAACTAGTATTTCTCCTTCCCAGGCTCAGGCCTCACCACCTGTCTTTCCTAGCGTATTCTGAGAATGATACCCAAGGGATCACTGATGATGGGGAACAGCTAGGACAGGATTAAGGGTATGGCCCTTCAGCCCTCTGAGAGTTCCAGGTAGGGCCAGTTGCCTCCTTTATATCTGCTCATGTTTTCCTTGTCCCCTGAGGGAGCTTGTTTCTGAGCTGGATGGGTGCAGCTGATGGTCTGTGATGCAAGGAATTAAGGGCTGTGATCCTGGGGAAGGCTGTATTGCCCTTTAGACTAAAATTCTATGCTTCAGAGAGGTAAATAGGGTAGCTGTTACATGCGAGGGCCCTGAAGCCACATGGTCTGGATTCTGATCTTGTTCCACCACTTACTAGCTGTAACTGCCTCAGCAAGATGGGGTCATACTCATGCCAACCATAGTCCTTCATTCATACATAGTTATTGAGCATCCCCTGTGGGCCAGGTTGTTCTAGGTGCCAGGGAAATAGCAGTGAATAAGACAGAATGGGTTGATACCTTTAAATACTTAGAGCAGTGTCTAGCACATAGTAAATATGCAGGAAATGTACCAATATTCTCTTCCTAGTACTTTTCTGAGAATAGACAATCGGGTGGGATGACCTTTGGTAGCAGCTCCAGGACCAGATCTCCCTGAGAAGGGGAAGGATGGAGGAAGGGCTAAGATACAGGTTCTGGATTTGGACTTAGGTCCAGGACAGCAGTAGCTCCAGTGGCCTTTTATTTCTGGCACTTCATTTTGAGATTAAATAGATGAACTGGCTAAAGGTCACCCTGGAAATTTTATGAGTCTGTTTAGTTCCATAGAAAGGGCAGGAGGAGATGACCCTGGACTGCCTAGATTCTGCCTGGCCCGTTTGTACAGACAGCGCAGTGCCTACCAAACCATGTGTGGGTGACCCTAAGAGAGGCCACACGTCGTGAGCAGTATGAAGGGAGATCCCAGAGACATGAGATGTGAGGACGGAGAACAGCCGTTTGCCTCTCTGCTGTCAGGGCTCTCTGGCCATAGAGTAGAGGACCTTCTGCTGGAGGAGGTGGCTTGGGGGTTGGAGAGCTGAACTTAGGAAGGAGAGTGAGGTGAGATAGAGGTCGGTGGCCTGTTTCAGTTCATTCCTCAGGGGATGCTGCTGAGGAGGGCTGTTATACTCCTAGTGAGATTACTGCTGGAAGCAACGTCTGCACCCAAGGCTCCTGACTGATTGCGGTTTCCAGTGAAAGTCCAAGACTGATACAGTCTTTATGTGAGTAGGGTTGGAGTAGAAATCTATGTTACATTTCCTGGGGATCCATAAGTTTTTCAGCTACCACCATGCTCAGGGAAAGAGCTGTATAATCTTAACCATGGTTCAGCAACTAGTTCACTGCTTCTCCCACTTTCTCTCTTCCATCCTTCTCCCACAGTGGGTTTTCAGAAATGAATGCCCTTATAGCACAGAGAGAGTGCCCTTGACATGAGATGTGGGCCAATCCAGGATTCCTGGGCTTGTTCCCATGTGAGCTGCTGGCCTGGCTTCCCTTGGAGAACCTGCTAACTTGGCTGGGAGCCATGGCGATTTGCATGCATAGGGACAGACGAAGTGGTTCTGGGCCCTTTCCAAGATTCTGAAGTACAGCCAGGTTTAGGTCCACTGGACACCATACTCTTTCATCTCATTTTTATTGCACTTTCTTAAGTCTTCAGCCATTACTTAAACTCAGTTCAGCCAAGTGTATGAAACCTGAACTAGGCAAAGCATTTTGCTGTGGATATAAATCCACAGTTCATTCCATAATGAAGGAAACAGATAAATATAATATGATTGTAGCAGTGTTCCTCAATTTTTTTTCATTATCACCTCCCTGAGGAACCTTTTAAGACATTTTTCCCTAATCATCCCCCCTCAGGAAATTTTAATACCATAGATAAACCAAAATTCTGTTTATGTACTATTTGTGTATCTGTGCTTTATACTTTAAAAGAGTAAGATTTTTTTCATCCCCCAAGAGCAAATTTTCTCCCCACTTGGGGGAAATATCACCCCCAATGTGAGTTCATGGATTATAGTAAAGCACAATGTATAGTATAGCAGGCAAGCCTCCAAAGCTTTGTAAACTTTGTTTCTCCCATCTCCTTTGACTGAATGTCATAGCTCCATAATTTATTCTCCTCTCTCAGTCTGTCATTCCCATTTTGCTCTTTTTCCCCTTTCCTGGATTTCATCCTCTTTCTCTCTCCAGTGTAGAAGTTTAGGAGTGAATTTAATTAAAATAGTAATCTGTACAACTCAGGGACAATTTAGGGAAGATGATTTCATAAAACAGTCCTCTAAGAGGTCATCCTTTTGGACAAAAGAGCCTACAAACCTATGAGGTATTCATGGGGAAACATAATAGACATAAGTATTGAAGGAAATAAAGATATTTGTTTGGAGTTGCCTTTCAGAGGAGAAGACCTCCCAAGAGGTCTTTATATTGGTCCTAACAGGTTTGGATATGGATGTCCTATATTGGATCTAAATTCTGTATATAAATTCTTTTAGGGTTGATGCCGGTTCTGCCAGTGGGATATCAAGTTTCTTTTCTCTAGCAATACCATGTCACCAATGATAGCATCTCCTCTCCCCTGTAGAAACTACCAGAGGCATGCAGTGTTGGTGATGGAAAACCCTTTGTCACAAATCTACAGAGTCTGTATATGGCAGTCACCAGACAAGAGATCCAAGTGGGACAGAAGCTTCGAGGCACTGGTGAGTAGCTCCAGAGGTACCTGGTCTCCTGGGGTTAGAGTTAGGGTCTAGGTTTGTGCTGTTCAATATGGTAGCTCTAACCAATAGTGACTATTTAAATTTAAATAAATAAAAATTAAATAAAATGAAAAATTCATCCCCTCATTTGCACATTTCAGGTGCTCAATAGCTACATGTGTCCAATGGCTACCAGGTTGGACAGCTCAGATACAGAACATTTCCATCACTGCAGAAAGCTTTATTAGAACTGGTCTACATGCTTAGGAGAATTAGTGAGAGAACCAGGAAAAAAATTAATCTCCCTACCTGAGACATGGCAGGCAATATGTAGAAGAACAGTGAGCTGTTTTGGGTCAGGGAAACTCTTGTCCTACGTGGTTAAAGTGGCCTGGAGAATCTTCATCATAGAAACAGCGCTTTCCAGAAGTTAGTTGGAAGTGGATTTGTGTCTGTTTACGTATTAGTACCAAAGCCTGGCCTTTATCAGAATGCTTGGTAAATGCTAATGCCTTTCTGGTAAGAAGAAGGCAGTTATCACTATCTTCCCTTGATCTTTCTGATCAGAAGATCCCCAGACCTCAAGCAGTGCCTCCTCACAAGGAACTGATAGCCAACTTCTGAATCAGCCAGAAGAGCCGGCCTCCTCAGCACCATCCCTCCCAGTGCCTGAAAAAGAGCCCACAGTAAGTCGTGAGCAGCTTCCTAGACTGTATTTCAAGATTTGGGAGAGTCTGCACCTATAGCTCCCAAGCCAGTGGTCCCTGGAACTGTCACCTAGTTGACACTGCCTTAACAACACTGGGGGATATTTGTGACCAGGCATCTAAATTGTGGATTTCTGGATGCAGAGTCATGGTCTTTTACATCTTCCCTTGCTGTCTCCTCTCTGCAGTTCTTCTGAATGATGGACCTTGACTCCTTTTTTGCCTTATCGCACTTGCAGTGATGGTCTATGAGGTTGTTCCCTAGGGGAGAAGTGATGTGCGTATCTCCTGCATAGAGTCTTATATCACATTCACTGCCTGACACGGACTTCAGAACTCCTGCGTCAGCCACCCGTCTTAACCAGAGCCATGGGAGGAAGGAATTTCTTTTCCTAACTTAAGTGGAACTGTTTAAAACCTCTATTAACTTGGGTTCCTTTTTTTCTAGGTTACTTCAGGCCCTATGCAGAGACCTCAGCTGTTGAAGGTCAAGAGGAAGAAGCTAAGGGGGCTCTTCAGTTAACCTGTCACTGTCTCAACTGCTGAGGATGGACTCAGAGAGTAGTTTCTTAGTGTCACCTTGAAAGGAGGTCCTGTGACAGCAGCATCTCTGACACAGAGTTACACAGTCAGGGACTCCACTGCAAGGGCAAGATAACTGAAGTTCATGTTGACAGGCATGGATACTATTAACTGAGGGAATCCTGGCTCCAATCCATCGGGCACTGGCCTTCCCTGTCCGAGTGGATGCCAACCTCTGGGAATCCCATACCCTCCTTTCTTTTGGTGAAGGTTCTCTAGACCCAGGATCTACCATGGACTTTAGGTATATGGGGCAGGTCTGCAGAAAGGCACAGCATGCTTAGGAAGCCTTGTCTACCTTCCTTAAGAGTCCCTAGCCAGTCCCAGGTGTTCCTCAGAGACCCTCTCCTCTCTTTAGCATGGAATAAAAAGCACTCACACTCCCCTGCTTTTGAGATTGCTTATCTGTGGAACACATAACCAACTCACTTCACTTTACTGGGTCCCACCCCATTGTTGTCTCTGGATGAAGTCTAGGCCCTCGGTCTAATCCTTCAGGTTCTTCTTATACTTCTCTTCTGTGGCCTGTGCTAAGCCTCCAATCGGGAGCTTTGATCTTGAGACCTCTCTCCATGGTGGGCACAAGATAGCAGAACATATGGTTTCTGTGCTCTTTGGTCCAACTTGATATGGGTTTATTTTGGTCTATTTCCAAGGCATAGACAACAGGTTAATATGGGACTGAATATGGGATTGAAATTACAAAGAGCTCTGAGCCCTAGGGCCAAGTTAGTTTCCCGGAGTGGGAGAAAAAGGAATTTTATTTTCCCATCCTTCACTTCACTTCAAATAACATAGTAACTAGAAGAATTAGAAAAGATAGGATGACAGGGAACAGGAAATATGTCCAGAGGAGTTCTCTGGAACCAAAAGAATTGATGTATAGAATGAATAGTGCTTAGCAGGAAAATATGTAAAGACTGTATGAGATAGGCAGAATCTTAGTTAGAAAGTGAACTCTTTGGACAAATCTAGCAGGATTTGAGACTTCCCTGGCTGTCCAGTGGATAGGACTCGGTGCTTTCACTGCTGTGGCCGCAGTCGGGGAACTAAGATTCCACAAGCTGCATGGCATGGCCAAAAAATAAAAAAGAAGATTTAGCAGAAGAGAATTCACAGAGTTCCTTGGCCTTCTCTGCTAGGTTTTCCTGTATAGGTAAGACCATCTGAAACTTTACCTTGGAGAGACAGGAAGGAAAGTAGAACTCAGATATTCACTGGGAGCTGTTAGGTAGAGGCCTTTTCTGGTTCAGTTACTTACGATGGTCAAAGGCCTCCTCGTCCACATGTCCTCTCTGGCTGGGACTGGTGTGTCTGTCCCCATGTCAAGTCTTGGGGGAAAGAGGATGATCCAAGTAATCATAAAATAATAATGATAATAATAACAATAAAAAACAGCTACCAGTTAATGTATACCAGGTACTCTAATAAGTGCCTGGCATTGAATCCTCAAAGCATCATATGAAGAAGATACTGTTAACCCACTAGGAAATGGAGTCTTGAAGGGACTAAGTGACTTATCAGAGGTCACACAGCTAATAAGTAACAGCCAGAATTTGAACCCAGACAGCTGAGTTCTAAACTGCATTATTACATACATTACCGAAAACATTTTCCAGGAAGGATGTAACGTCCTTCTTTCTCCCGTGAGGCTGCCTCTTTTCAAAGAGGATGTTCTTTCTACTCCCTATTAGCTCTTCAAGGGAGGAGCCTTGGCGGACCCCAGGACTTAACCACCAGGCCTTTTTACCTGCTGGCAGAGCCTGAGAGAGCTCCACCAGGGCTCATTCCCAGTTGCTGCTGATAACTTACTTTACCCTCAGACCCAGTCTGTGCCCTGGTGGTGACTGTCATTGAAGTGAATTGGGAACTATGTAAAAACAATCTATCAGATGACTTACTTTGTTGTTTAGTTTCTCTTGGCATAATTTAGATGGCCAGATTTCAAGGTATGAGACCACATGAAAAATGGAAAGACTTCCGCAGCAAGCTGGGGGAAAATAAGGGTTCTTTACCCTAGATAATCCTTCTGCCCTAAGAGCACAGTCTCAAGAGCAGGCATTTTTAATCAGAGAGGGATCAGGGGTTTTAGAATCCCCTAAAATTATAAGTAAAGTCTTAACAGCATAATTTTTCTTTTCATGTTCTCAAAAGAATGTGTAACTTTTTAAAAAGGTTAAGTAAGAGTATGCCTCATGACCTCCCCGCCCACTGCCCCCTTTATCCCCAGAGGTTGCTGCCCCCATGGGGGTATTGCCCAAACACACCCTTAGAGAAACATTGCTCCCCAAGGCCCTGCCTCAGTCATTCTTGCTCTGAAGCTCTTGCCCCCCAAAGCAAAGGGTGGTGTTTGAAAATCATTCATCCCAGGGCAACTCCAGGGAAATCCCTGCCTTGACAAATTGGCCTAGCCAGGCTGTATTCCAGCCCTGCCCCCTGGCTTGGGCCCCTCCCTGAGGCCCCCAGGCTGGCCCAGCCCCACTCCACATGCACATAAAAGGGTCGAATTCTCGTGGCTGCTCCATAAATTTTATTCCGTAAATATTAGTTTTCCCTGTGTTTAATAAAGCAGTGGCCCACCTCCCCGCCTACCCACCCGCTCCCCGGGGCTGGGGCTGGGGCTGGGGCCAGGGCTGGCTGGTGGGAGAAGGGACTCTTTCAATTGCTTTGGAGTATTTTTAGAAAAAAAAATAATATAAGGTGGTTTACAGCAGCAAGCCAGCAAACCAGAAGCAGGAGTAGGGACCTCGAGGAAGTTCCTGCAGGAACTTGACCTAAAAAGTAGAGAAATAGCGCCACCTAGGCTGCAAGGCCTACTTGGCCCTGCCGGTGGTTCACCCCTCCCCCACGGTCAGCCAGGAGAGGCCAGCTCTTTGCTGGGAGAGAAATCTTCATCCCTTAGCACTCCAGCTGGGCAGCACCTCCTCTCTTCAGGCCTCACCGAGGGCTTTCTCAGCAGCCCTGAGGGCAGAGCCCGAGCTGGGTCCTGGAAAACCCCACGAGGGTCATTCTCTGTTCTGTCACCAATCATCCAATCTCCCAGATCAAGGAGTGTCTCCAAGGGGTAGTAAAATTATTGAAAAGGGAGGAAGGAGCTTCTAGTCTCTGCCCACTGAATCCTGAGGAACTAGCCCTGGAGTCCCTAGGGTGTAAAGTGGCAAAGAGTGAGATCTGAGCTCCTGTACTCTGGACTTGGAAAGAATCTGTTGGACCAAGATCCTTCCACGGGTCTGATACAGTTCACCTTCGGTGAGCACTTGGGGGAGGGAGAGATGCTCAAGTCTCCTGAATACTCAGCCTGCTACTTCTTAATTTTATCCCGTGGTCCATTTGAACTCCCTTTTCTTGCGTTCCTTTTCACTTAAACCTCCCATTTTCCGAAGCCCTTACCTTCTCCTCCCTGGTCTGCTGGGAGATCAGCGGGAGCCGGTGTGTCATTCTGTACAAAGATGGTGGGAGTGGGGATGGAAAAGCCCGTGCCTTTTCTCCTCGTCCTAGATTTGGTCTCGTTCTTGACATTGTCACCAGGGGCATTTCCTTCTTCCAATTATTCTGTCCTTCATTTCCTCCTGTTTACAAAGCTAAGGGGATTTGCTCCAGAGAGTATCGGGGAAACCTAAAATCCTCTTAATTACCCTTCCTCGTGATGTAGTAAGCTCACTTTATCTGTTCTGCCCACCTCCTTGCTATTTGTGCTGTTAATATAATCAGTGTTTATATACAGATTTCCTATGGGCTTTTTGTTTTCATCCTTACATTGGCATATACTCTGAGAACAGGGTCAGTTTTTAACGCTAAATCAAAAAATATCACTGTGTTGGGATTATACTACTAAGGGGTGCAACGTTATGTTCACTGGGTTTTCATGCAATCACGATATGCTTTTCTGAGCTCTTCCCAGAAGTATTTTTCTGTCTTTTAATTTTCCTGAAGAAGAAACTGTTCAAAAGGAGCAAGTGACATTCTACAAGGAAGCCACTAAACTCAGAGCTCAAGACCCTTGGTTCCTAGTCCCTGTCACCAACATGAGTAAATGCACGGACTCACAGAACTGTGGTGGATTCTGCTAGCACTTAGATACAGAGAGAAATGCCAGAAGAGAAGGGAGTCCACGCTCTGGAGGGAGGATTTCCCCTAGCTGCTGTGACCTCCTGGAAGCTGCTGCAGGGTATTCTTGTCGAGGGCTTCTTAATGCTCTCTTTTTCTTCCATGTTCTCTTGGACAGGGCTTCAGAAGATCCCACCCTGAGGGGAAACATTCAGAGAAGGCAGGGTGTGAGGTAGCTTGTCTGTCTGTGATGGGCGAGGGACCCTAGGGAATCCATCTCTACTTGAGGATCTAGAAGCCCATCTATCCTCTGTCTTCCATCCCAGAGCTATCAAGGAATACTTTTCTCCTGAGACTTGCATTTATGGTGGGCTTTAAGCTTCCCCTCAATTCTTGGGTCTCACTTTTCTACCCTGGCATATGGGAAGTCATGAGGTAGCACCAAAGCATTCTAGCAAAAGCTCAGTCTCTTCAAAGCTGTGAAATCCTACCTGCCCTCAGTTTCTCTGTCCTGGAACCCAACAGATTTTGCTGTGCTTTCCACACTCCTGGACCCTTTGAGTGAGCGCTAGCCTCTCAGCACCTAACTCTCATGGGTTTGTGAGAATCTGGGCCAGCCTAGGGAACCCGGAAGAAGCATTGGAAAACTCCAGGGTGTGGGGAGCACACAGCCATTGACTCACCTGGGAATATTGTGCCAGGTTACTCGTCCTGCCGGCGGCTGAGGACCAGGAGTTAAAGGAGCATGCAGTGTCACACTCTTCCACCCTCCTCTCACTTTGGGGTTAGAATTGGGGAGTAGGGCTTGGGGGCTGCAGGGAGTCCCTTCTGAAATCTGGGTGTTGTATTTACTTTTTCATATTGGCAGCTGGAAGGGGAAGCCCATCCCAGCTCGGCATTGTTGTCTAACATGGTTAATCAGATCCTATAATCCTGCTGTGGAAATATTGGGCCTCACTCAAAACAATAGAGACCAAGAATATTGTGGTTAAATTTCAACCAGCTGCCTCCCTGGCCTGTTTGCCTAACCCCTACCCCCCTCTCCTGGGCCAGAGTCCTCCTGGCTTTATGGACCCCTGATAGGATCGACAGCCAGTCAGAAATGGGTGACAAGAGCAGGGAGGATGGAGTAGGGGAAGGGTAATCCTCTCGACTGGCACTCCATCCTGTCTTTCCCCTCCCACTCCAGGCCTTGAAGGTTGAGCAGGGGGTGGTGAAACAAGTTGGAGCTGGTGGGGAAGCCCCTGCTGGGTCTGGGTGTGTGTTCAGGGGTCAAGAGCAGTACTGCTGGGAATCCTGGTTGGTAAAGAGATCCCTTATTCAAGACAGAAAAAGACTCCT